TGGATGAGGAGAAGAGGAGGAGGAGGAGGAGAGGAGGAGGAGGCTAGGAGGAGGAGGGGAGGAGAGGAGGGAGAGAGCGAGTATTGGAGTGAAGACCGCGGAGTGCCGCGATAAAAAAGAGCGGAGGAGAGCGCGCCAGAGGGGAGATAGAGACCGACTGGGCGGCGGAGAAGAGAGAGAAGAAGAGAAAGATAGGCAGCGAGCGGCGATCGAGAGAGGGAAGATGCAAGCGTAGCGGAAAGAGAGAGAGAGAGAGAGCTGAGGAGAGAGAGAGGAGTGTGTGGAGAGAAGAAGCCTGCGACAGAAAATAGCGCAGATGCGAAGTGAGCGGCGGAGAGAGAGACCAGAAGAGAGGGGAAGACAGGGCGAGGAGGGAGAGAGAGAAGAGGACAAGTATGAAACACACGGTTATACAAATTCATGCGACGATATAGTTATCCCAATTCGCTGGCCTTGCCGTCTGTCGCCTACACAGCGCCCTGAAGATGATATACTCTAATAAAGAACAGCATCGGTTTCCCGCGGCTTCTCAGGTCAGCGTTTTAAGAGTATAAAGTTTAGCGGGTTCGTGCTATAGTGAGCGCGCCGTGCCGTGTGTGCGTGGCTTTCGGACGACCATCTCCCAAGTTCAGCATCGTAACGATCTGTGACATCTGCACAGTTCTTCTAACTGATACTATCCGCGCAGCACGCATCTCGGCGCGTGCATGCGCCCTTTAGTTAAGGTTTACACCCGGTGCGCCACTCGACGATGCTGAGAACGTCAACGGTGCGTGCTCTGTTTTTTTTCTCACGCGCCGACAGCAGCTTTAATAGTTCCGCCACCTTTCGGTCGTTTATTTTTTCAATGAAGTGTCAGGATCCGCCCGGATAGGAGGTATCGGCAACTTAGCGAAAGGCTTCTTTTGCGATCAAGTGATTTAACATGTCTGATCTTGCGTTGTCATATGACCGCTTGATGCGAAATAGGTGACGCGTATCACGCACACTCTCTTCTCACATAACACACACACACAACACACACACAGCACACCACACCACACACAAAGACGACAACACCACACACGCGGCGCTGCGGCGCGGCTCGCGCGCACACCACAACACGAACACAACACAGCAAGGCAGCCAACAACCCAAACCAACCACAAATACGTTGCATTGTTATAGTATATAATATTTGGTAGTTATAAAATATTATCCATTGCGGAAATGAAACTTGTCTTAACTTATATCCGTTACTTATTGGAGGACAACGGGGATATATTACGCGTTATATATATGGGTTTATGGGATGCAATTGGAATGCAATTTAAACTGTGCCTATACTGTTGGTGTAACTATGTTTTTTGCCGGAGGGCGCGCACCGTAATGTGCAGCGATGTGTGAGTCACGTGCCGTTAACCGACGCTCCGAAGCGAGAGGTGATGCGAGCGGTGCTAGTGAAATTCTATTCAGATAAGCCGACGGGTTATCATGAAGGCGTCACATTTCTTGCGCGGCGAAGAGAGTTCAGATATGAATCATCTGGCATGCTACGGAAGACAGCTCTGGCACATCTGTGACTACCGGCTGCTAATCTATGCACTGCCGGTATTCGTCAGAGGTGGGACAATGCACGTTGAGAGGGCCAACATAATCTATAAATGTGTTTATACTGCAACTGGTTGCGCTACTTGCTTATTCAGCATTTTATTGCAGTGGATTGGATGGGGTGGCTAGTTGGTTGCCGCATTGCCATACGCATGTCTCGTATAAAGTTTTCGCAGGCTGTGTTATTTTTTGTTGTTGCGTAGCTGTGTCAAAACAGCATCTACAAATCGATTTCGAATTTTTTTCAGAGTATGATACGATTTTGTTTTAGGCGTGGATCTTTATAAACTATCGTTTATAGCACGCGCAGCCACACAGCAACACACGACACTTCGAGGAACAGTTAAGCGCGATGCGTCTCAGCCACCACGTGACGGCGCTCCTAAGAAGTGGCATTGCCGGAGTGCAAGTTCCACGCATCAGACGGCACACGCCGCGCCACACACCACGCTGGCACCACACGTAACAACCCGGCGCATAACCTAAATTCTAACAGTTATATACGTGCTGTTTTTTTTTTTTTTTTTTCCGAGGACGTTGAGGAAGTGGCGCGAGATTGTTTTGCCATATGCTGTGTCGTTTTTTATTTGCGCGGGACATTAACGGGCGCCTTTGGTCTGTTTGCATTTTAGATGACTGGCTATGCAGAACACTCTGAACGCTGTTCGTGGCGCAGATATGTTTGATTATTTCTATTCGCCGAAACCATGACGCGATATTATCATAATAACATAAGGTTAGCTTAAGAATTTACTAGCGCTTCGTTGGATTGGGTTCTGTATAGTCAGAATTCATAAATCTTTTTGCCCCTTGATTGGTGGTTCGCTCATAATTATAATGCTATTTCGCGTGTAGTATATGTTTTGATTGTTATCGGCAGTGTTGCTCGATATCTGAAGTATATCTTATTGTATAATTTCTTTCTGTGGGCGCGAATATCGTATTTGATTTTGATTTTATGCCAGACATGCTTACATATGCGAGCGTTTCGATTATTTCAGTGGATTACGTACATTTTTAGAGATGTCGTTGGTTTCGAAAACATTCTCTGCGTTATTGGTTTTTTTAATAGTATTTTTTTTTTCTCTGCATATTTTTTATTTCCGATAAGCGTTAACAATCGTCATGACGTGTTGTTTTATTTCTAATACTTAATGCCTACTAATCTAATCTAACTTTCTCCAGATTACTTTACATTGTATTTGTTTTAGCTAATGTAATTTATTGATATTAGGCAAGACGATTTTGCATGATATTGCTTAGGTCAACACAATTAAATATTTTAATTGGAAACATTATATTTTTTTTTTATGAAATTAATTTAAATGTGCTATTTCTCATCTTAGATGAGAATGTTAAATTTAAATTTAATGTAGGGGTTGGAGCGGACGCACCGATTAAGTGCTTATTCATAGTAAAAATAAGAGGGGTTAGCGGTTTGGACCGCATCTCTATAACACAGATGTGCGCCAGGTTAGGGTTAGGGTCTAGGGTGTTTGTTTGGGCGAAGTCAGTATGAGGGTGTTTTACATAGACCGGTTAAGTCGTAGGTTGTTTTATCGTTTCGTTTTAAGGGTGTTAGACGATTTGGTTACGGTTTATTGCGAATTAATTTCAACTTCTTTTGGACTATTGGATTTGCAGCTCACCTCTTTTGATGGGGACGGTTAATCGTTCTCTTGCTTGCACTGCCTTTAACGGTTCCGGGCCAAAAGCAACTCATCGAAAGGCGCCCAGCAATCAGACATGGTGGTACGCTAAACGAATCTCTTCTATCTTTTTGCTCATCGATTCTGTAAGTAATCGGCGTTTGGGAAAAAAATTTCGCCGGCCGGGGTGTGTATCGTTTTGTGGTGATAGCTTCTAATCGATTTTGCTGTAGGTTTTCTGGCGCGTAGGTTCCCCGCTTCCTGCTGTGTAAGTTTATGAAGTTGTGTTTGTTGTTCGCGATGTGTTTGATTTTCGTGTGGTGTCGCAAGGTTTTCTTGTTTGTGTTTGCCAGGGCATGTTTTATTACTTGTGTCGTAAGGTTCTAATCGTTTGTACATGTGTTGCAGGGAATGTGTTTTTACTTGCGGGGGTAAGGGTTTATGGTTTGTAAGTGAGGGGAGGGTTAATTATGGGTTTCAGCGGATCTATTCTGAACTTGTCGCGTGTGTGGTTACGACTAGCGCGGCGTTTGTCTTAATTTAGTTGTCGTTTTACTAGAGAGGGTTGGTTTTACTTTGTTGGTTGTCGGGTTATTGTTGTTTCGTCGCCACCGTCTGCAAGCGCAATGTCTACCGCAAGACTTCTGGTGCTGCTAGGTTTTTTGGTTTTGTTGGGCTGTAAGAAAATTTGCATACTCTGGTTGGTGTGGGTCTTTATTTTTTCTGTGTGTTCTGCAGCGAGACGTGTGGGTTTTCTGGTGCGATATGCGTATCTCACATGTGGATGATTTGCATTTTCGATCACTTTTACGTTGTTAAGTGGCTCTTTACTCGCCATTCTGTTGTGCGTGAGTATTTCGCTCGCTCTTACGGACTTATATGAGCCAAGTGACGTTATGGACATCGCGTAGTGCAGGAATGCGATCGATGCGTGAGTGACGCTACCGGCTGTTGCTCGCTGCTTGCCTATTTTTCAGCTCGACCTCGTGGGACAATCGTCGGCTGCGTCGTCGTCCGTCCGTTGCCGTCCAGTGGCCGTACTGTCCGTCTTCGTCCGTTCGTAGCGTCGTCACGATTCCGTCCGTACCCGTCCGTCCGTCAACGTCACATATTTTGACTTTACGTGTCACTACTTACTCTCAGAGACCAGTTACATGACGCCAACAGTACACACTTTTTGGCACAATTGAAACAATGGCCACTTAACCAGTCAAGTTTAGGTTTCACGCGATTTTGCTCTATTTCTAGCTATGTGGCAATGCAAATAGGGCATGGCCAGAAGAGATGCACATATTCGACACGGGTTTTGGATGATGTGTATGGTAGTTAGATTAATATAGTGCGAAGATAAATATGAGTGTAGAATTTTGGCAATGTGATCGTAGAATGCGAAATATTGAGTGTAGTGGTGTCGCGCAACCGGAGAGCTCAACTTCAAGAGACGTTTGAAGGCTCATCATTGCTCTTCTCTATCATCATCTCTTCTTGCGTGCCTTTTACTCTTAGCTTCTCGTTGTTTATTTACGCTTCTTCTTTATACTTTGGGTGATAGAGAGCTTTGCAGCACGCTTCCTGATCTTTGCTGTTTGAGCACGTCATCGCTCGACCTCTCTTTCTCTTTTTTCTGTGTCGCTCCTCTCTCCTTCTTTTGGTCATCATATTGTACTACTCTCTCTCTATCGTTACATCTTGGACACTTCTTTTCAACATCTTCTTGTCTGTTCTTCATACTTTGGTCAATTATGTTTGTGCTTGACAGACTTGCTCCCTAATCATCTAAATTTATCAGTTATCTCAGCGTTCACATCCCGAGTTATTGTAATACCGAGTGAGATGACATACGCGGTGCCCTACTCGTTTATTGGTTGCGTTAGTAACTCGGGCGTTAACAACTCTTACAATCATCCTATTATACCTGTTGATGATAAATAATTCATTGTGTGGCGTGTGTTAGAGTCTTCGTATAGCAGTAATTGGACTGGAATATTTATTTCTTGTGATTTGTTATTGAATGAATGGGCGCGAATATTCTTGGGTAGGCGAGGCAGACCGATAACTTTGGCGATCATTTAGGGTTAGCCGCGATCTCTTCGTCTCAAGATTTCAGACTTTCAGTCTGAAGACAGTTTATTTTTCGGCATCAAAACGTTATGCATATTGCATTATCAAGAGTATTTTGAAGATGCAGGAGTAACCATAGGAGGAAGCGTGCGGTATAGCGACGATTTCGCCCCGTCTATATGGGCAGTTCTTACCGAATATATGACCTCTTTGCTGTCTATATATTCGCCCACGCTTCCTTCTGTCTATCACACCCGCACTGATGAGCATGAGCAGCGGAGTTGTAGCTGGAATATGTTCCGGTAGACGTACTTACCTCAACTGCTTGTCCTGTAACCTTGATCACGGCCGCGCGCCGCTTTTTCTACTTTGTCGAAGGATGCGTCTAGCGTTTGTAATTGTTTTCGTTGTGTGTAATCGCGCATGTGGGACGATATGGCGCTCAGTGACTGTGATGTGTTTTTAGCTCGGTGTGATGATTTCGCGTATGCACCTAGCGATAATAGATAACATATTACTATCGAGCTGGGTGTTGAATATGCGCGGTTTCGCGGAGCTGACTGCTTAAGATAGGTTCACTGAGTTACATCATAGAGCTTAATATCTCTATTTATTGTACTTTGATATTTTGATAGCTACGCCCAATCGTCCAAAGCTATTGCATTGCGCTAATTATTAAGACGTTTGTGTTTGTGTGTACGTTTGGTGCGTGGTGTGGGTGACCCCTGTGGGTTTGTGCTGTGTGCGCGTGTGCGTTGTGTTCGGTGGGTGTTCAGGCAGCTGGCGTTCGTAGTGTGTGGTGTGGCTGGGCGTATGTGCGTGGCGCTGCGTGGTGGTTCGTGTGTGTGTGTGTGTGCGTTGTGTGAGTTGTGTGGTGTGCGTGTGGTGTTGGCGTGTGGCGTTGTGCGGTCGTGTGGTGTGCATGTGTTGCGCGTGTGTGCTTGCGTGTGTGTCGTGGTGTGTGCTTGGTTGGGTGTGTGTGTGTTGGTTGGTGTGTGTATGTGTTGTGTGTGTGTGTGCATTGGTGGCGTGTGCGTGGTTGTGGTGGTGTAGTGTGTGGTGTGTACGTAGTGCTGCTGGTATTAGCGTGTGAGGTAGGATATGAGAGTATGCTGTGAACAGAAAATGACGATATAAGTTTTTTATCAACAATTGCAACAAGATTGGCACAAAACGCCAAATTAGGGCCCTATTTTTTTAGTCTAGTTGTGTAGGTAACACGGGGACATGTGAGGTGTGTCTGGTTTGGCAAAGGGTGCAGCAGGAGGGTGGTGGTTGGTTCATAAGAGCTCAGTGTTCAGCTCATTCAGCAATCCTGTACAAGATGTCACTAATGTGTCGTAAAAAGTATAGGTAATTTGATACTCACTCGTGGAAGACTAAACGGCGGCGGATGTGGTGTTACCATAATTAAAAAATCACTCTGGGGTATATTGTGAATCTTGGTTTTGTTATCAGTGTGAACCAACGGATCGATGTAGACAGGACTATACAGGGTTGTTTTCTGTACGTTTTTGGTTAGTGACCTGGGCTGTCTTCAAGGCTCGCGCATTTTCTCTCGCATCGTTCGTGTGATGAGTGTTGGGAGGATTGTGGTGATGCCAGCTTTTGGTGCATTGTGTGACTCGTTCTTTGTGGGGTATTTGGGGCGGTAGCATCAGGCAAGGCCAATTTCTCTCTTGTATATAGTGTTTCGTGTCGCTCGCTCTCGCCATATCTTTGTGAGGATTATTGTCGCGAGCTCCCAGTGTATGGTGATGTGCATGTTGTCATGCGTTGCAGCTTGAAGGGCTCCCAGTGCTTCAGTAATGCAAGATCTTGTGTGTGCTCGCTGGGATTCCATTTTTTTTTGGTCATTTCCTTTACGCACACATAGATCATGAAGCGAGTGATATAGTATGCTGTTATGTAGAGTCGTTAGGGTCCGTAACCCTCAAAAAGAGGAGAGTCCGCAGCAAAATTGAGGGAAGGTCATGCTATCGTTAAAGATTCAAACGTTAAAATTTGACAAATAAACGCGCTTCGATAACGTGTGTGCAGGCATTTCGCTCGGTGCTCGGTCTTGGCTAAAGTTTTTCTGGCGGACATTTGTCGTGTGGGTGAATGGTGACTATATTTCGCGAGGCAATGCTTGTGGATGTAACTGTGAGTTTAGCTGCAGTATGGCAGAGATCGTTCTCAGGGATGCTCACACGGACTCGCTGAAATAGTGTAAAAATCTCAGGGTGGAGTTCGGATAAGTTAAGATTGTTGGATCCGGTACTGCCCGTTACGTAGTGTGTCGTACCCGGTGGACTTGGGCTGTTGCTGTACTATCGGATGGTGATGAGTAGTGACGTGGGTTTTAGATGCCGCGTCACCTATTTACAAAATGTCATCTGTTGTGTTCTATCTGTTTGTCTCTCTTTCTCTCTCTCTCTTCCGTAATGCAGACGTCGCCAGATCACGTAAATTGTTTCTCGCTACGATACACGCGCGTCGACGCCGCGTGGCTATTTAAGACACGAAGTCAAATATCGACATAATCAGCAGATGTGTGAAGCACATGCCGAATTAGAGAGATTTGCTAATGGTCGGAGCGTCGCAAGCTGCGTGAACGATTGGCAGTAAGATGCCACGGGGTGACCTCTTGTCCGCCACGTCCTTCCAGCGGCCGAGAGAGGCGCGCCTGTCGTGCAGGAGGAAGCCATGCAGGCGGAGCGAACCGCTCTGCAACGTCGCTTGTTTGTTTACTCGCGGATATTTATTGTTGTTCTATCGGCGTGTTGTTGCGCTCTTGGATATTTAGCTAATCAGTGTTAGCCGGTTAGAGCAATATACACAGTGCGATCAGCGCGCGTGCTCACAACCGAGTATATCTGTCGAACAAGTGAATCACCGTAGTCCCCCTCCCATTTGTCCCTGTTCGTAGCTGCTGGGGTGAGGTCGAGTTTAGTGCGTTGGCAAGTTAGCAAGATGCATAAATATATAGCCGCCCGCAGCGCTTATTAAACACTAGGAGAACTGTTTCGACAGCTTGTCAGTGTGATATCGACGCACGTTAACGGCGTGCTAATGCAAAGTTCACCCAGAGCACTCACTGACAACGAAAGTATTTGCTATTTCTGCACTTGCATATTTTAGCATGAGCCATAGATGATTACGAGTGGATTACTTACACCTAAAATCTTGGCAAAGATGAGCGAGTGCCGTGCCATTAATTACTTGCAGCAATTATTCACTATATTTTCCTACGCGCTAAAACTTTTGCTCGGCAGAAGCGATAGCGCGCATGTCGCGTTAATTAAGCCCTAATTGGGAATTTCTTTCGTGATAGTAGTGGCCGCACGAATCTGCGCTAAAAACTGCTGCAGTTTGAAACGCCGTAAGTAACCTATAAATACACCTCGTCCGGCTCGCCGCAGGCCCACATATTATGCTCGCTGTTTTTGTCACCTATCTCGCTGCTATATAGCTATACTAGTGCTACCCCTTGTAATGTTACTGCTGCTGCTGCTGCTGCTGCTAGTGCCGCTACTTCTGGTGTTGCTACCGTTACTGCTACTGATACCGTTACTGCTGATGCTGCTACTACTACTACTACTACTACTACTACTACTACTACTACTACTACTA